TCTTGCAGATAGCTCAACCACGCATACAATACTTCAAGATCGAAAATATTTCTTAAGATTGATGCTTACAAAAGTAAGGGTAACAACAATTTCAGGCCAAACATATGTAATTGAAGGCTCAGGGAAAGCTCCGATTATGTTACCAAATGGAACAATATTGTCCATATAGGATGCGTTGTACGCTACTCGATCTACTCAAAATTTGTTGAGTTTCAAAGACATGTTTAAATGGATACCACATTGAAACGAGAAGTGCAAAAAATGTGGAGTATCTATGCATTACCTCCAATGATACCCAGAAGTGTATATTGGAGAAGTTGCATGGTTTGACGAGTGGATTATATTATACATACATAAAGATAGTTGAATCACATACTGTCATGAACTAGAAGCCCATTGATTCAAAAGTTTACATGTTTTGGCATGACCGTCTGGGTAACCTAGGATCTACCATGATTCATAGAATCATTGCCAACTCTAATGGATATCCATTATTGAGTAGACACATTACTATCTCAAATGATAACCTTTGCAAGACTTGTTTTCAAAGGAAGTTGGTAATTAAACCATCACAACTAAAGGTTGATGCTATATCCCCATCATTTCTGCAAAGAATTTAAGGGGATGTTTGTGGGCCTATTTAACCATCCTATGGACCATTCCGATATTTTATGGTTTTGGTTGATACATCTACCTGATGGTCATATGCTTGTCTCTTGTCTACTCGGAATGTAGCTTTTGCGAGACTTCTTGCTCAGATAATTAAGTTGCGAGCACAGTTCCTAGATTACCCCATTAAGTTAATCCGACTTGATAACGCTGGTGAATTTACATCTCAAACCTTTGATGATTACTGCATGACATTGGGCATTGATGTTGAACACCCTGTTCCTCATGTCCATACTCAAAATGGTCTAGCAGAGGCATTTATCAATTGGTTTCAATTAATAGCTCGCACACTGCTCATGAAAACAAAATTGCCAGTCTCTATATGGGGATATGTCATCTTACATGCTGCATCATTGGTTCGATTGAGACCTATAGCTATCCATCAATACTCCTCAGTGCAATTCGTGTTTAGAGATCAGCCAAACATTGAACATTTACGAGTTTTTGGTTGTGCTGTTTATGTGCCTATTGCACCACCATAACGCACTAAATTGGGACCTCAGTGCAAACTGAGAATTTATATGGGTTTTGATCTACCGTCTATCATTATATATTTGGAACCCTTGACAGGTGATATGTTTACAGCTCATTTTGCTGATTGTCATTTTCATGAGATAGTTTTCTCGTAAGCTGGCATGGGTTGTTCCCACTTTATCTCATTTTGATTCATGTAGCACTCAATGTGAAAATGAAGTGAAAAAGATCGTTCATCTTTAAGGTATTGCCAATCAAATGCTAGATGCATTTAATGATGCTATGAAAGTGACAAAATCACATATACCGGCTGCAAATGCACCTGTAAGAATTGATGTTCCTGTTGGACAAAATAAAGTGGTAGCGAATGATTCATCTGGTGCACGCCTGAAGCGTGGTAGACCCACAGGTTCAAAAGATTCAGCCCCTCGAAAGAGAAAGACGAGGGCACATGTACCTGAAGAAAAAATGAAATCATTCAGGAAGAAAAAATGAATGACAAATCCATAATTCATGATTCTGTACTTTCAGAAAAATGTACCTAAAGGAACAGAGGTACATGAAAGTGAAGAAATCTCCATAAATTATGCTTGTACTAATGAATTGTGGGATTAGAATGAAATAATCATCGACGACATGTTTGCATTTGCAGTAACCATTGAAATCATATTAAGTGATGATATTGAACCACACTCTGTTAATGAATGCAAACAAAGACAAGATTGGCTTAAGTGGAAAGATGCAATCCAGGCAGAATTAAATTCCTTGGAAAGGCGAAATGTTTTTGGACCGGTAATCCAAACTCCGCATGGTATAAACCCCATGGGTTACAAATGGGTATTCATAAGAAAGCGAAATGAGAAAAACGAGATTGCAAGATATAAAGCACGACTCGTTGCATAAGGCTTTTCGCATAGACCTGGAATTGATTATGAAGAGACATACTCTCCTGTAATGGATGCAATTACGTTCCGTTACTTAATAAGTTTAGTGGTTTTAGAAAAAAACTTGACATGCAACTTATGGATGTCATCACTGCATATCTATATAGAGAATTAGATACTGATATATATATGAAAGTCCCAAAAAGACTTAAGTTGCCTGAAACAACTAATAAACCATGAGGTATGCTCTTAATCAAATTAAGGCGATCGTTGTATGGGCTGAAACAATCTAGACAAATGTGGTATAATCGTTTCAGTGAGTATTTGATCAAAAAAGAGTATATCAAGAATGTCATTTGCCCTTGTGTGTTCATTAAGAAATCCAACTCTGGATTTACTATAGTGGCAGCATATGTCGATGATATAAACCTAGTTGGAACCCCTGAAGAACTCAATAAAACTGTTGAATATCTGAAAAGCGAATTTGAAATGAAAGACCTTGGAAAAACAAAATATTGTCTCGGCCTGCAGATCGAGCATTGTGCTAGTGGAATTTTGGTTCACCAATCAGCTTACATTGAAAAAATCTTGAAGCGATTTGGTATGGACAAGACTTATCCATTCAACACGCCAGCGGTCGTTCGTTCTTTGGACATTAAGAAAGATCCATTCCGTCCAAAAGAAGATGATGAATTGGTCATTGGTTTGGTCATTGGTTTAGAAGTACCATATTTGAGTGCAATAAGTGCTTTATTGTATTTAGCACAATGTACTCGACTAGATATAGCTTTTTTAGTCAACTTGTTAGCAATGTATAGCTATACTCCAACAATTTGTCATTGGAAGGGAATCAAAGATGTATTGCGATACCTTCGTGGGATAGCAGACATGGGTCTATTCTACTCAAAGAAATCCCCAAATGACCAGGTCCTTGTTGGATACGCATATGCCGATTTTCTTTTTGATCCGCATAAAGCCCGCTCACAAACTGGATATGTGTTCAATAATGGAGATACAACAATCTCGTGGCACTTAACAAAGCAAACATTAGTTGCTACATCCTCAAATCACTTAGAAATACTTACTTTATATAAAGCAAATCGTGAATGTTCTTGGTTAAGATCAGTGATCCATCATATCCGGAATTCATGTGGTCTACCTTCAAAGACAGACACTCCAACTATCATTCATGAAGATAATGCAGCCTGTGTTGCCTAAATGAAGGAAGGATTCATCAAGGGTGATATGACTAAGCACATATCTCCAAAGTTTTTCAGTGCACATGAGCTTCAGAAGGCGAAAGTTATTGAAGTCAGACAAATCCGTTCCAATGAAAATCTGGCAAACCTGTTCACTAAAGTGCACATTTCAGAAGTTAGTGTAAAGTATCGGATTACATCGACTTACCAATTAGATAAATTTGAAAAATATGGAATCAAGAGGAGATACATATTAGGGGGAGCATCCATGAAACATGCATGTTGTACTCTTTTTCCTTCAATCAGGATTTTTCCTATCAAGGTTTTAACGAGGCAACATAAGCATACTTAACACTATATCAACAATCCAATTAAAGTTGTACTCTTTTTCGTTTGCTATTGTTTTTTCCCATTGTGTTTTTCCGAGTAAGGATTTAACGAGGCAACTAATGTTGATATGTGGGCATTTAAGGGGAAGTGTTGAAAATATTTGTGGGTTAATGAATGCCCACATAGGAATATTGACTACGGAAATGAATGAGAATTGTATTTTCAAAAGGTGTGTGCTATAAATTTCAAGATGTAATTATTACACTTGTTTGGAGTTGCTCTATAAATAAAGCGCTTGGTGTGATATCAAAGTAGACTGAGAAGAAGAAAAGATCAATAACATCAGTATCTATCCCTTCCTCTTTTATTCGTCATCCCCTTGTGTTATAATTACAGTGTGATATTTTACACCTACTTCGCTCCTGTCACTAATAAAGATTATCTCTCTGACTTTTGATTATTTATAACACCAAAAAAGTATATTAGTGGAGAATCTTATCTTTAGGTCAGTGGTTTGAAAAAATACAAACTTTACAATATTTATTTCAGAATGTGGATGGCTTAAAAAAAGGTGCAAAAAAGAGAGAGGCTGGCAAATACAGATAAGAAGAATATGATGATTCCTTCAAACTTCATTTCTGTTGCGGAACATAATTGTGACTTGTTGAAATCACCATGGCCATGGTCCCATTGAAACTTCATCATAACAGCTTCAAAATAAGGGGACATACAGCTTCCTTTTCGGATGTCACTTGAATATTAATGTCGGGTAATATTAGATAGATCAATTTTTTAGATCAAATTTATAAATCATGTGATGTGCTACTAATAAAAAATAAACATGTTAATTAACATTTAAGTAATATCCAATCATCAACAATTATGTCATATGATTTATAAAATATGATATAAATAAAAGGTCTGCCTAACATTACCCGCTTCTGTTTCCCCTTAATCCTGTCGTCACTTGATTGATGTCATCTTTTTCTGAGATATGCGAGTCTGAGGAACCTACAACTTCTAGACAAGCAGCTGCTAGTCCTCATTAGCAAAAGGCCATGAACATGATGCCTTAAAAACTCAAAAAATTAAGAAAAGTGGTTTATGTAGGAAGTAAATGGGTTTACAAAATTAAGAAAAGCCCTGAGGGTAGTATATCCAAATACAAGGCAATAGTATAACAACTTTGTGCATCACCACATAGGGAAGTTGATAGTGTCGTGTTTAGAAAGCAAGAATGCTCCTCTTGTACAGCATCTTTGTGAGTGCGAATCCGATCTTGTTGGAAAAATACTTGCAACAGAAAAGAATTTCACCTTAGAAGCTGATCCCAAGCGGCCAACAGTTCCCGATGAGAGTAGATCCCTGCCCAGGATGGGAATACTGGACACTTGACGCGTATATCCAACAAAATCATTCAACATAAACAAGTGGACTGGAAGAGTTGAACGCTAAATCTTGAAGAGACGAAGAAAAAGAGTACGGAAAACAAAATCTTGGAAGAGTTTTGTACCGGTTTATGTTCTTGAAACTGAAATTCTCAAATATAGTGAGTTAATTACAATGGTTATGAAATTGAGCGAGAGCTCAGGACAAGAATGTTATCATTAGGGTCATGGCGTTGTACAGAGAATGTATTAAGATGGGACAGCTCAAGTTTCCAGTCCAACAATAAGAGCATCCAAGTACACATCCAATGATGAACAACTGTAAGGAATTCTCACCAGATAAGTGAGCTGCACTAAAAATAGCCGAGCTTATCAAAACTGCAGACTGCCATTTCGTAGTGGACAAAATTGACGCCAGTAAAAATCCTCTGTAAACAGTTTCTTCCAGCACGGGAGTGATAATGCAGTATACGAGAACACAAGCAGCTTGTGAGATGTTGCTGCTCAACAAGATTTCCTTCAGAACGGGGTTGTTTATATCCTGCAACCACACGGTGTAAAATAAGTTACTTGAAAGAGAACAGCATCTTCCAAAACATTGTTAAACCACCGATCTATTCATTTAGAGAAACATGAATGAGATGTAATAAGAATTTGACAACGGAAACATATTCGACTTGTCTGATGCAGATTTGAAATCATTTTAACTTAGTACCAAATCCTATTTCTAATCATAGAAGCCCTATATGACCCAAACTAGTTAAAACCAAACCAAAGCCAATTAAAAGAGTAATCTCAGCCACTGTTTAAAAGCAATATGGACCACTGGATCATTCAGTTAGTAAAGATACTTTGATGGCTGTAGAGCGAAAGCTAGGCTAAGATATTTGTCAGGATCTTTCAAAGTTATCTTTGGCTTATTTTGTTTATTATCATGAGCATTGAATCAATTAAATCCATTCTTCTGTTATCATTCGCTGCTACCTAACACCAGCCAACATAAAAAATGCCGAGATTATGACATCTTATTATCTGAAACATGGTTTTACCAAGCCATCAGGTCATGTAACAAAATATATGCGTCCAGGTTTCTGATTGCGGTCTTGTTTTTGGGAAGCTTACCTTTGGTTCACTAAATATGATAACAAAAACCAGAAAACGTAGGCAGATAAGTAACAAGTTTATTCTGCGAACCTTGGGGCCAACGACTCTATCAGCAAGTAAGGAAGTTAGGAAAACCAACATGAACAGAAACCCAAATCCTACGACAGATGCCAACAGCCAGCTCCTCTCTTTTGATAGTTTTTTAGCTTTGAAGAAATCCACAAACTTGTATTGTGGCTTGGCAGTACTCTGCAGAAGCAGCAGAGCCGCAATGAGCTCTAGAGTTTGAGCTCCAAGCAATGATATTGCCTGCACTACCAAAAAAAAATAAAAATAAAAGATCAATCGACAGTGTGCAAACTGCATACTTACTAATGCAAAATCAAGCTTCTTAAAATTGAGAATTGCAAACAGTTCCATGTGCTTTCATAGCCATGCTCCCTTGAAACAAAATGAAGCATAGTTTGATGCAAACAGCGGAAAGGATAAGCTAATTGATTACGCAGCAGTTCATCTTCATCATCCTCTATTCACAGCATATGCCAATCCATATCAAAGCAGAAAGTTGAACAACTTTTACATCCAACCCCTAACAGACTACACCCACACTAAAATGCTAAATCATGAAAAGGGAAAGTGATTCATTAACAAATATGCCTGTACGCAAGTGTCAATCCGTGAACATGTTCTATAATTTTCCCTCACAATTCCCATTCTTCCAAGAATCAAATACTGTCAAGGCCAATACGTCTCAACGATGATAACAAAAAATAAATGAACAGGCTCACCTCTGTCTGTGGATCAAGTACAGGTTCATGCAACAGATGAGCAACCACAGACAACCCTCCAAAACTCAGAGGGATGTGCAAACTGAACATATAGAAAGCCATAGTGCTCCACACAGTTCCATTGTCCCATGGAGCATCTGCTGCCAGTGCCGAAAACCCCTACAATTTACAATCACAAAGAACCCCATTTCATGTTTTTGATAAAGCGATATTCTAAACTACTTTAATCTACATGCAAGGGATTCGAACTTGGGTGCAAAGCAACAATGAACCCAAAAACATATATTTCACCCCCATTTGACTGAACATACTAAATTGCGGAGACTCGAAAAGGAAATTTACCTGGGAAGAGGGTTCATGGGTGCTTTCAGTTTTGTCACAAAAGCACTTGAAACAATGTTTGGAGCTGCATAAGAAGCTGGTGGATTTGAACTTGGTGCAAGAGAGAGAAGTATGGGGAGAAAGAGAGGATGTTAGGGGATTGGAAACATGTCCTCCAAATCCAATGAATTTTTCAGGTGCTGCAGGGTATACAGTTGCAGGATGCCACAGTTGCCACTGACATTCTATCATTCTGTTTCTCTTCCCCCAAACCTATTGGTTTTTCTGGTTTTCGTCGCCGGAGAGCATCCGATTCCCGATTATAAATGGCTAGCGCCTAGTTTTTGTTTATTTAAATTAAAATGAAGATGGGATTAACAAGTGACGCTTTGGCCGAGTGGTTAAGGCGTGTGCCTGCTAAGTACATGGGGTTTCCCCGCGAGAGTTCGAATCTCTCAGGCGTCGTTTCAATTTTTTATTTATTTTTCTGGTAACCCTTATTTATTTGTTTTGGTAAATCTGGGGTTATTTATAGACTCATGTAGATGTGTTTTCACTTTTAGAGAAAATGTATTTGTTTCTATTTAACAAGAAAAGTATTATTAGCCATTCAAAAATCTTATTCGTCTTGACAAACGGTAAAAGACCGCAAATATGAAATTGAAGACAAGGGCGTCGTTTGCCTCCCCAACACTAACTCATAATGAGGATGCATACCGCCTTTTTTTTATCCCAGCAGTTGTTCATTCATCTCCGAAATTTTTGTCGAGTTTCGGGAACCATCTCCTTCCTTGGTATAAGCCTCACAGCTCTCTCACTCCGACTGACTGACCCAGGTATCTCTTATCCTCTCCTCTTCTTTCAGTGCCGATTTATTCTCAACTTTACGATTTAATAAGAGGATTTTAATTTAAGGTTTAATTAATTAGGGTTTTAATTAAGGGTTTGGTTGTACCGGATTCTGTATGTTAGAGTTGGGCCAAATTCCAAACTAATTCAATACATGGTCTTACTGCAATGCAAATATCTGGATAATTGAATAAATGTAGGCAAGGATACAACTCTAGTATTTAATTTTCTACATGTCTTGCATGTTTGTTTCTTGTTTCTCTTTCCATCTGTTTTTATTTTTTGTGTTTTGTTTTTTCATTGTATGCGTACGCATTTTGGTTATCAATAGTCCAAGCCTCCAAGGTTGTTTATTATCCAAGATATCTGCATTAGGTTCCTGGAATCTTGTTGGCCGCGTTAAAATTACCTTTGGGGGAGGTCTATTCGATATCCAAGATCCGCTCAGCCACAGTTCGGGCAAGTCGTATTGTTTTAACAGGTTCCGTAAGCTTGGGAAATTTCAGAGAAACAACGGAACTGCAGTTTCTAGTTTCTGGCTTGGAAAAAAGAAACTTAGGGGCCTGTTTGATAACCATTTTGGTTTTAGCTTTTAGTACACTTTATGGTTAGAAATGAAGGAGAAATACAAGGAAGAAGAAATGATGAATAAGGATAGAGGTTCATTCTGATGTCATTTCATGTGCATTTCTCCCTGCTCCTTCCTAAGTCCTACCACACTACATCCTCCACTGTTCCATCTACTATCACTCTGTATCTAGTGACAAGTGACAAAACCAAAAACTAAAACTAAAATGATTATCAAACAGGCCTTAATTTATAGTTTCACCCCATCCCACTATGGAGTCCTGGCTCTATCCCTGTCTCCTGTTTAGCTTCAATTTGTGAATTTGTTCCTCATCTTGATGATTATAAGTTGCATCCTCAGATTTGTTTTCTTTTTGTTGAATGCCAAAGAGCTGCATGTAAAGTTTGTTGTAGTCCTACATTATCCGATCTAAGTATGTCTTTAGGCTTAGATGTTCTTCTGTAACCTTATCCATTTTGGCTCTTGCACATTCAAGTTTACAGTCATATATATGTAGAATGTTAAAAGTTAAATTTGGCCGCAAGCTCAAAATATGCTACTCTTCAGCTGTGCTATTCCTGGATTTACTATAATTTTGATTATGCACTCTTAAGATTTTTGTTTGTTTATTTACTTTTATTTTCATTAGTGTTTTTGGAAATCCTCAATTTCAAAATAATGCAAATCTCTTTATACTGTGCTTCTTTGTTGGTTACAATAAATGTAACTGTTTTTTTCGTTTTTCATTTGAGAGACTCTAAGAAAAGACTTAGAGGACTTGGATCAAACGGAGGACATGACACAAAACTGAGCGCAATGGCGTTCTAGGATTCATATAGCCAACCCCACTTAGTGGGAAAAGGTTTTGTTGTTGTTGTTGTATTTGAGAGCCATTTTTTATGCTTTTGAAGGTGCTCTGTGAAAAGTGTTATTACGTGAATTGGTAACAAATAGTGAAAAGTAGCGTAATAGAAGAATATTATGCCACCATTGTGCAATTTTTTCACATGCTTCTGCTGACATACATAGGAACTTGCAACAATCATGAGTTGGATTTTTGGTGTACATGGCGACTAGGGAGGCAGCTAGAACACATCAAAGTAATCCAACAAAGGTGGGCTGTTGGTGCTCATGCTTTCCGCTGAATTTTGTATCAACTGCGTAGTCTTCACTCTTCAAGTATATAGAACAATAAAAAAAAATATGTCGGAGGCTCTCTAAACAAAGATGATTCTCACAACGCAAAAGACATGTACAATAGATTTATATGTCCAGTCTATAAACATTTCATACACAATACACCACAATGGTCCAAGTCCATACATACAAACTACAAAACCTCCCTTAATTTGGAAGGGGCATTGGCAAGCCAGTTTGCTTCAATCGTGCAAGCTTGTAGTGATCATTCTCTTCTCCAGCAAGGTAGACAAGTTCATGCACATGTCATTTGCAGCGGACTTGTCAAAAACAGCCTTGTTGGTACAAAGATCCTGGGTATGTATTTTCTCTGTGGGAGCATTATAGACGCCAAGAACATGTTTTATCAGCTTGATTTGAAATATACTTTGCCTTGGAACTGGATGATTAGAGGGTTTACATTAACGGGTTACTTTGATTATGCCTTGCTGTTTTACTTTAAGATGTTGGATTCTGGAGTTTCACCCGACAAGTACACTTTTCCGAGTGTAATTAAAGCTTGTGGTGGTGTGAATAATGTAAGATTGGGCAAAGCAGTCTATGATACTATCCAGCTTATGGGTTTTGGAATTGATATATTTGTGGGCAGTTCTTTGATTCAACTGTATGTGGACAATGGTTGTATCCAGGATGCATGGCACTTGTTTGTTAAAATGCCTGACAAAGATTGTGTTTTATGGAATGTTATGCTTCATGGCTATGTTAAAAATGGAGAATCAAATAATTCTGTTAGAATGTTCTTGGAAATGAGAAGTAGTGAAGTTAAGCCAAATGCAGTGACATTCGCTTGCATTTTGTCTGTTTGTGCGTCAGAAGCTATGATTGGTTTTGGTACTCAACTTCATGGGCTTGTTGTCGCTTGTGGGTTTGAGTCGGATTCTCCAGTGGCTAATACATTGTTAGCAATGTATTCTAAATGCCAGTACTTCTCTGATGCCCGCAAGTTGTTTGATATGATGCCTCAAACTGATTTAGTGACATGGAATGGAATGATATCTGGTTATATACAGAGTGGGTTCATGCTTGAGGCTTCACGTTTGTTTCAGGACATGATATCTACAAGTGTCAAACCTGATTCAATCACATTTGCAAGTTTTTTACCTTCTGTTGCTGAACAAGGTAGCCTCAAGCAAGGTAAGGAAATTCACTGTTACATTGTAAGGCACTGTGTGCCTTTGGATGTGTTTTTGCAAAGTGCACTTATTGATGTATACTTCAAGTGTCGGAATGTGGAGATGTCGCGCAAAATTTTCAACCAAAGCACCAGAACAGATGTTGTCATGTGCACAGCTATGATTTCGGGGTTTGTTCTCAATGGGATGAATAGTGATGCATTGGACATTTTTAGATGGTTACTTAAACAGAAAATGAGACCAAATTCCCTAACAGTGGCAACTGTTTTACCAGCTTGTGCTGGTTTGGCTGCTCTGAAATCTGGAAAGGAAGTGCATGGTAACATCCTCAAGCATGGGTTTGATGGGAGGTGTTATGTGGGTAGTGCCCTTACAGACATGTATGCAAAATCTGGAAGACTCGATCTTGCTCATTGTGTTTTTCAAAGACTGACCGAAAGGGATGCTGTTTGTTGGAACTCAATGATAACAAGCTTTTCCCAGAATGGCAAACCAGAAGAGGCGGTTGATCTATTTCGTCAAATGGGGATGGGAGGTGTCAAATATGACTGTGTAAGCATTTCAGCTGCGCTATCTGCATGTGCAAATTTACCAGCATTTCATTATGGGAAAGAGATCCATAGTTTCATGATTAGAAATGCATTTAGCTCTGATCTGTTTGCTGAGAGTGCACTGATAGACATGTATGCCAAATGTGGAAACTTAGATCTTGCTCGCCATGTGTTTGACATGATGGAAGAGAAGAATGAAGTTTCGTGGAACAGCATTATTTCTGCTTATGGGAATCACGGTCACCTTAAGGAATCTCTTGTTCTATTTCATGAAATGTTGGGTAATGGGATCTTGCCTGATCATGTCACCTTTCTTGGTATATTATCTGCTTGTGGTCATGCAGGCGCAGTTGATGATGGAATTCTCTACTTCCGTTCCATGATTGAGGAATATGGGATCCCAGCTAGGTTAGAGCATTATGCTTGCATGGTAGATCTGTTAGGGCGTGCTGGACATTTACATGAAGCATTTGAAACAATAAAGAGCATGCCATTCTCCCCAGATTCTGGTGTCTGGGGAACAATGCTTGGAGCATGTCGGCTCCATGGCAATGTTGAGCTTGCAGAAGAGGTATCAAGATATCTTTTTGAATTGGCACCTCTAAATTCTGGCTATTATATACTCTTATCAAATATACTTGCTGATGCTGGAAAATGGGGGAGTGTGCTTAAGGTTCGAACTCTGATGAAAAACAGAGAAGTTCAAAAGGTTCCTGGGTACAGTTGGATTGAGGTGAACAACAACACTCATATGTTTGTTGCAGCAGATGGGAGTCACCCAGAGTCTGCTCAGATATATTCATTGCTCAACAGTCTTCTTCTAGAACTAAGAAAAGAGGGTTATAATCCAAGGCCTTACCTTCCAATGCATCCACAAACGTTGGGGGTATAATTACTGGAATGTTTTAGCTTCTCTCCTACAATTCTGGCTACTTCAGGATTAGGAATGTGTTGCTGGCTTGTGAGTAAGGTAAGCCAGGGACCTTGTTGGCAACGAATTCTGCTATATCTTATTCTGGAAACATTTTCTTTGCATACTCAGATCTACAATTGTCACCTGTAATCAATAAAACAAGTTTTTATCATGTACTTTATTGCATTACTTGAGGCACGCCAATGAATTACTAAAAAGTTCTTTCTATCAAAACTACTAAGTTAAACATGCTTGGGCGAGGTAAACCATGAATGGTGGCCTCTTGAGAAATTTGCCATTGCACCCACACAATTTGTACTTTTGTAAAAATATAATCTTCCATGAGTAACAAGTTGAGTAAGTACACATTTCATGTCTTCCACATTCTTATGTGCATTATATAGGACACAGATAGTCGTGCATTATATATATAGGACCATGAAATGATTTTTCTATGAAGGTATGTTGCTGTTTTAGTTTCCTTTTCTTGCAATTTTATTCAGTCTTTTAAAGAAAAAGAAATAATCATTTAGAAAATAATAATAATTTCCTACAACATGGTTATTGTCATGAATAATTGAATATCTAACTTTGCGTGTGTACTAAAAGTTGTTTCTCTTTAATCATGCTATAGATCTGGAATAATTTTTTGGAAGCTTTGGGATTGAAAAATATTGGACCTACCTTTGTGCAGGAAATAAATCAAATTACTGATGCCCCATCAAATAGGGGCATTTAATCTGTAGACGAGAAGACAAGAGATATTCACTGCACACTATTGAGTTGGTAATTGAATTGGAATAACATGTAAGCTTGTCTCCTTAGAAAAGAGAAGGAAAAAGGGGTTTAACTCTCAAATTAGAAATCTGAAAAACTACCTAATAATAGGTCCCCTCGTGATTATGCCTCTGACTTTGAAGATAATTAAACAAATTGGTTTTGGAACCTTTTGCCGCTTACTTGAGGATATTCTCAGCTATGAAGGGGTGCGTTTTTATCTCCACTGGTTTCCAAGGCCAAGCTTTTTTCTTATATTTTGGTCAGTTTGATCATATATACCCATTTTTCTTCGTTGACAAATCGTTCCAGCTTGGCCAGATATATTATGTTTATTCCTAACTCTTAGGTAAAAACTAATTACAAGACTATACTTTTTTTCCCTCTAGATTATTACTCTGTTACTTTATAGGCAGAAAATCCCTGAGGTGTGAATCCTTTTTTCTGTTTTCTTTGGGCATATTCAGCTTCGCAGTTTGAGCTTCAACTTGGTTTCTGTGTTTTGTTAACCCCTCTTTTCGTGTTATGTGACAATCTCTGGAAATTGTCACGATTTTGTAGAGTGGAAACAGCGGTTTGTTTTGCAGGAGCGGGGCAACCATGTGGTGGTTCCCTATTTTGAAGGTTCTGCTGGAGAATCCATTTACGGTTGTGGGTTTTGTTGCTGAAGATCAATTGGCTTACAGCTATGCTGTCAAAGCAGCGTGTATATGGAGATCTGTCTGGTATGTGTCTCACCTATGGTTTAGGATAAAATACCAAAGAAAGATTTTTGGCTTTCCCATCCAGATTCCAGATTAATATCAATTGATAGCTTCAAGCCTTCAACAACTGGAAAGATTAAATACTTGAGACGCCGATATTTGCTTAAGTTATATGATTATCAAAATCCATGTTTAGTAGCTTATTCTTTTTTTTTTAATATACCTGCAAGTGAAGGGAATGTATAAGTGGGTATTGTCATTTGAATAACTATTTGATGATGGAACCATCTCAACATGATTCAGAATAATTATTTGATGATGGAACCACCTCAACATGATTCATTACGGTGGGGTTGACACGGGCCGGGCTGAAATTTGGAGGGGCTGGACATAATTCGTTTTAAAATGCAACGGGGCGGGCCAGACCAAGTAATAGAAAATAAAAGGGTAAATTACACAGAATTATCTCAACTATTGGTTATTAATAGTTTCATATCTCGTCTTTAAAAAGTTTCAATGTCCTCATCTACGAATTTGTTACAATTTCATACCTTCCATCAGTTGTTTGTCAATTCTTTCGTTAAAATGCAGACGTGACAAGTGACGGGATCCATTTTTTATTAAAAAATTAATTAAATATTTAAAAAAATATTATTTATAAATTAAAAAAAAAAAACCTCAGCCATCTTCTTCCCTGCACCCACCCCTAACCCAAAAACCCAGCTCACCCAAAACCAGAACCCCCCACCCCGCCAGAACCATCCCACTAGATCCCCAAAACAAAAATCAAATCCCAAATTCCCCCAATTTTCAAAATTTAGAAACCCACAAATTCCCCCAATTTTCAAATTTAAATCCCTCTTCTCTGGGAAGAAGAAATTCAGTCCCTCATCTGTCGCCACTGCAGCACCCAACCCAACCTTCACCCCTATGCACTCACGATCCCCTTCCTTCCACTCGCACGCCTAGATTGCCGAACTCGACTAGGCCATCATGAGCAGCGTGGGGCAGCCGGCCTCAGGCTTCGGATCCGGTTCCTCTGGACCTCGTCGTCGGGGTTCGGTGCTCACCGCCTTTGGCTCACTTTCACGGCGCTCTCCCTTTCTCCCTTTGCCGCACAATTTGGGATTTGCTTTTGGGGAAGAAAATGTGTGAGGAGAGAGAGAGTTGCAAGGGATGTGGGGAGGGGGAGGGGTGTGGGGAAGGGGATCTGGTATGGGTTTGGATTTTTTTGGTTTTTTTTTTTTAATTTTAATATTTAATTATTTTTTTAATAGAAAATGGATCCCGTCACTTGCCATTTTTTAATATTTTTTAATATTTAATTCAGAAACCCACAAATTCCCCCAATTCTCAAATTCAAATCCCTTTTCTCCCGGAAGAAGAAATCCAGTCCCTCATCCGTCGCCACCGTAGCACCCCACCCAGCCTTCACCCTCACGCACTCGCAATCCCCCTCCTTCCACTTGCACGCCCAGATCGCCAAGCTCGACCAGGCCATTGTTAGCAGCTTGGGGCAGCTGGCCTCAGCCTTTGGATCTAGTTCCTCTAGATCGCGCCGTCGAGGTTCGGCGCTCACCGCCTTTGGCTCGCTTTCATGGCGCTCTCCCTTTCTCCCTTTCCCGCATGATTTGGGATTTGTTTTTGGGGAAGAAAATGTGTGAGGAGAGAGAGATAGAGATAGAGGGTTGCAAGGGAGGTGGGGGTGGGGTTCTGGGTTTGGAAGGAAGGTTTTAAGGGGCGTGGGGGAGGGGGGAACAGGTCAAATGGGAAGGGAATGGGGATTTTCCGGGGGTGGGGGTGTGGGTTTGGAATTTTTTAATTATTTTTTAATTTTAATATTTAATTATTTTTTTAATAGAAAATGAGTCTCGTCACTTGCCTGGTCAGCATTTTAACGGAAGAATTGACAGACAGCTAACAGAATGTATGAATTTGTAACAAATTTGTAGATGAGGTATGATATTGAAACATTTTAAAGACGAGGTATAAACCTTTTAGGGTAAATTATACTTTACCACCTCAGGTTTGGGGTTTATTTCAATTTCTTACAACATCTTCAAAACATTTCAATTTCATACCTTAAGTACTATTTTATTTCAAAATAATACATCTGTTACATTTTCTATCCATTGATCCGTTAAGTGCGGACGTGGCTGCCACATTTGTACCACGTGGTTGCCAAATGTGTGCCATGTGGCAAAAAGAATAATTTTTTTTTTTAAACCTGGAGGAAAAAAAAAAACCTGATTTAAAAAAAAAGAAAGAAAGAGAAGCCCGCACGCCCCCGCCCCCCCTCCCCCCCGCTAGAAGCAAACCAAGAAACATCCAACACCCCACCACCCCCCCCCCAACACCCCAAAAAACCACAAAAAAACCTGCAACCAAACCCAGAAAACTCCCCCTCCCCCCCCCCCAAACATACCTAGATCCGAACCCTTCCCCCCCTCCCCCCCCAAAAAACCCGGACCCAGTGCTCCTCGACGCATCGTTGAGTGGGCTCGTCAGTCGGCTCAGGCAACAAGGTATGTATTCAAATTTTAAATTTTTTCATTGCTTGGTTGGTGGTGGTTTGAATGGAGTTAGGTTTGCTAAGGATGGGTGGGGTTGCAGATAAGAGAAGGTGGGGTATGCGTGGGGGATTGCGGGGGAGGTGAGGGTGGGGTGGGATGGGAGGGGAGGTGAAGAGAGTGGAGGAGAGGGAGGTGGTTAGGAGGCTTGGGAGGGATAAGAGGGTTCTGCGTTTTCAAGTTTTTTTATTTTTCTGGGTTTTTTTAAAAAAAAAAATTTATTCTTTTTGCCATGTGGCACAAATGTGGTAGCCACGTCAACACTTAACGAATCAATGGATGAAAAATGTAACAGATGTATTATTTTGAAATAAAATAGTACTTAAGGTATGAAATTGAAATGTTTTGAAGATGTTGTAAGGAATTGAAATAGACTCCAAACTTGAGGTATGAAAGTGTAATTTACCCAAACTTTTAATAACTCAATAGTTGAAGTACTTTTTTAATTTACCAAAAATAAAACTTGAAACCGGACCTATCCTGCCCATTTGAAACAAGCTGGTTCCTATTGGTCGATGAGTCCAATTTTATTTTTTTTATTTTTTGTCGACACAGAGTGGCGGCAGCCAGGGTGGTGTTCGACAAAGAAGCCGGCTCCTCCACCAACACCCTTCCGCCTTTCCCCCGAGAAAGACACTCCACTCTTGTCCAAACCCAACAAGCTCTCCTCCCACCCAAAACTTTTGTCAACGTCTTCATTGCCATTGTCAGCGCTGGCGTGCTGGTCTACCCTACACCTTCAAGAAAACTGGCTGGGTCTTGGCTCCCTCATGCTCTTCTCCATCGCTTTCCTAACCTACCACTGAAGTAACAACCACAGATCCAAATCCAAGTCCCTAAATCCCTAAATCCAAACAAGCTTAAGGCCATAACCCAATTACTTACTCTCTCTAATCCTCATTTTTAATCTACGACAACAGCATTTCCCCTCGCAACCATGTCGTCCTTCGACTCCTTCCCCAACGACGACTAATCCCACGACCCCCGCTGCAACTCCCCTACCGGCCGGCCCTTCGACGACGATGCCTACATGGGCTACGACCCGGCCTCCCTTCCCAAAACTACGACTTGTCGTTCAACCCTCCCACCCACCACCACGACTTCTCCTCCTCTGTTGATCCTTCCCCTCCCCTCCACTCGTTGTTCTCCCCTGTGGGTACAACAACCCCAACATTGATCTGCAGCTGCAGTCCCCCGAGGTCTACAGCTTCGGCATTTCCACCCCTAACCCGGAATTCGTGTAGTCTTTTGATTCGGCGGTGCCTGAGGACAATGGCGTAGGCGGGTGGCGGCGATGATGATGATGGGGACATTTTCGCCTCTAGTGAGCCGTTGCTGCCGCTGCCCGAGGAGATGCGAGAGGAAGGCCTTGCTCGCCATGAGTAGCGTCGGTGAGCTCAGATCCTAATTTGTTGGCTTGTAATCATATTATTATTAAAGATTGGAATTTTGAATTGAAGTTATTTACTTACAAAATAGCGACTAATTTTAACACGATTACATTAATGATTTGATTAAGTTGGATTTAAATTCTGTGTTAATAATGTTGTGCAATGTGCATGCATGGGATTCAGGGGCTTAATAGCATCCAGTTTAATTTGATTTCTGTATCTGTGATTCTGTGTTCATTACGTTTTTGGGGTCTGAATCATTGATGTCGAGATTTGTCCTTGTATTTGGTAATCGGGTTATGCCTGTAAATCGCATTTGCTATGTCTCAGTTTTGTGTTTGTGTGTGTGAATTTGAAATGGGGAAAATCAGCTTAGATCTTGACTGAATCATTGCATAAGTTTTTTCGTCTTTCCCGTTTTGAATTTCTTCGTTAGCTAATTCCAGTCGTTGCTATAGGAATCAATGGCAAGTCACTGACCATCATATAAGATGGATGGATTGCAATGTCTCCTCTAGTCTTTAAAAGGAACCTAAGATTCACTTCTGCTTCACTGATAGAAACTAGACGTCGTTAGCTGGTTAACCAAACAAAATAAATGTGTGTAAATATTATGTCATATTTTCTTTCACTTTTTCATATGCACTGTTTAACGCATTGAAATATTTTGATATGACCTGTTGGCTTCAATGTTCTACCTCTTCCATAATCCTAATTCTCTCACCCTCCCTCCCTCTCGCTTGCATGCATTCTACGATCATCATCAGTGCTTCAAATCCAAGACGTGAATTTAACTTTCTGTGCAGCTGTACCTGGCCAACCAACAGAAGTTCCACAAAGAAGCTGACAAACATTACTGGAATGCAATAGCGAAGCTGATTCTTTGTGAGGTTCCTAATATTGAGAAGAAGAGAGGGAAGAAAGATCCTGACAAGAAGCCGTCAATTGTTGTCATCCGGGCCCAAAACCTGGTAAACCGACTGATCTTTCAAGGGATGCAGTATATTTTCCTGAAGCTGAAACAGAAGCCTCTGCCACACATGTGCCGCCCCCACCTGCCAAAGATGGCAAGGATGCAAAGGGAGGAAAAGATGGAAAGGATACAAAGGATGAAAAGGATGCAAAAGATGCAGAGGGAGGAAAGGATGCCATGGAAGGAGGAAAGGATGCAAAGGAAAGAAAGGATGTGAAGAATGGAATTCACCAACTGCGGCTGGAACTGCAGCTGCAAGCGCATCTGTTTCACCTGCCAAAGATGTTACTGTGAATTGTACTCCTGGCTCATCAAAACCAGAGGCTCCTGCTGAACCAGAGGTTGAGCAACACTCAGAAACCACGCCAACTCTTGCCAAGTAATGACCCTTCATAATTTTTTTATTCTTTACATTATCTTCGAATCTACTGCTTAGAAATTACTAGGAAGAATAAACACAATCATTTGTCGATGATCCAGGGTCTGCATCATGGAATGCAGACTGCAGAGATTTTCTTCCCAACTTGCTCTAGGGTTTTGTAATCTTATCCTTTTGAAATTGCACATGCTCTTATATTGACACCCAATTTATCGAGTAAGAACCAATTTTGTCCTTACAGTATTACCAATTATCAAACTACATAAATTTCCCAAAAAATGAAGTGTTGAATGATCATAAAAAGAATACCAAATAGTTTTACAAATTATCCAAAAGTTGAAAACAATATATGGCCAGATAGTTCCAAATTGTGTAGTACTTTCACACATAAAAATAATCAATTGCATCACTGCTTTATTTTATATAGAAAATAAGCAAATATATACAAACTCAAAAGGGTGATTATTTCATAACTTTGCCTGCAGTTAGGAAAGTCTTGTTCATTTTTAGGCCCTTGGGCGAACATTGACCGATTGGAAGGTTACGACTTCTGCTTGTAGTAGGCAAGAACACTATATACGGTTTGCGTGGCAGTAAGAATGAGAACAATGATGATTGCATTTGAAAGTGACCAGATTGATGATGGATTGTATAGATAATCGTTCTTGATCCTTGCAAGCCAATGCCTTAGCCAACGTTTTTCATAATATTCATTCACTTGCCAGGTGAGTTGAGAGTAAAAGAAGGAGATGCGTTCAGTGTCATTGCAAAGCCTGTTGAACAAACTAACAGTGTCCTCCTTGCTCAACTCGGTGTATATAATTTGTTTGTGAATGAGAGAGTCTAAATCTTTGGTAGACTTGATAAGGTGGTTGAAGATCATGGCATAAGACAAAATGCGACATTCATGGTGCCTCGCTGAACACTGTTCGTAGGCTATGAGGTTTCTGTAGACAGATTCTGTCTGGACTTCAATTATCGTACGTGGAATTTCCATCACTCCGTTTTCCCTGTCGAAGGTCATGTTCAACGGAACTTTCTCATCGGATACAAGAAATTTGACTCCAATTTCCTCAAGATGTGTCACTGGGGGAATAGGAGTCCAATAATCATGATGGTCTGTACTCAACGGTGATGATCCAACAAGCAAATCTCTTAGTTGGTCAAGAAAATGTCTGATTTCCCTCGTTTCCGTGGGATGAGGCCTAATGAAGAAATATGAGAGCCGAGACATGCTAATATTAAATTTATGTAGAGAAGGATCTCCTGGTTTTGCTGTGAGGTTGAATAAACAGTCGACAACTTTCCACGGAAGCTGGTTTTCAAGCAGCAACAAGTCCTTTTTAACTGCCGAATACACACCCGGCACACTGAAAACAGGATCATCAATACCAGGATCTTCAAACGCATTATCCATGCGGAGGAACCGTATAATAAAGCAACCATCGACCACCATCATTTTCACCAACTCATAGCTATTCAGATCAAGCTTTTCGTCATAGCAGCTACGAAGAAACTCTTCTCTGCTTCTAATTTCTTTGACCAACTTCACCAAACTGGTTTCTGGAGTTGGTTTGCGGTCGAGGAGGCCTTGCAAATACCATTGCTTAATTTGTTCCATGTGTTGCAACTTTTTATTTCCGTGGTGATAAGGCCCGATTGAAACCATTTGTGGGACAAAAACATTTTCATTGTCCCTGACAAGTTTCTTAGGGACCCTAAATATGCAAGTAGGACTTAGTTCAGGACGTTTCACGGAAAGCTCTGTTTTGATCTGGGACGCAAAACTTTCGTCTTCATCTTCTTCGTTTCCGCTCAAAGTTTGGTTACCCGCATGACTTGTTTCTCCCTCAGATCTCTCTCCGCCCTCTCTAACTTGTATTACAGAGTCTTCATTTTCTTCGTTTCCGCTCAAAATTTGGTTACCCGCATGACTTATTTCTCTCTCAGATCTCTCTCCGTCCTCTCTTACTTGAATTGTAGAGTGGTCACCGTTTGCATTGCTCTCACCAGCTGAGTTTGTCATCGTCAACTCTTTCCAACTCCAAACGTAACTCACCTACTTTAGTATTATATATTAACAAGAACAAAAATTAAAATTCCAGCTGAACTACATTAAAATTTCCAAATTTCTCTAAACAGATGTCAAAAATGGATTCGGGGAATCGTAATTAGTTCAGAATGAGTCCCGGTCAAAACCCAAAAAAGTCACTGCAAGGAATATAGAAATTCCATAAAATATTCCAGGAATATTGTTGTTGCCGAAATTTGGAAAACTCGTCGCAAAACTCAGTTTGGTCGAGTTGCTGCATAATCTTTAAATCGTATAACTTTGTCAATACTCAACGAAATTCAGTGATTCAAATACGAAAATCATACCTCAGAATGAGATGAACAAATTGATACCCTTCTCGGCGGTTGATTCGCCGTGGTTTGCTTGGAAAAATGCCTGAAAGCCACGGAACTCGCTGAAAATGGGGAAAAGTTTGAACGATTATAACTTTCTCATTTCTCAACGAAATTAGGTGATTCAATAACAAAAATCATACCTCAGAGCGAGACGAATAGAATGGTATCCCTCTCAACATCTAACTCGCCGTGGTTTGAAAGGAAAATGGTTAGAAAAGTGGCGGCCCGTTTAAGTTTCGATCCCCACTATCTGAAAGGAAGTTCGAGGTGAGATTGGGTGTTCTAGGCTTGTGAGGAAGAGGCGAAGCTCATGGTGCTCTTGGTTTGGGTGGTGGTGGTCGGAAAATTTGTGCACCTTTTGTGCACAGTGTGAAAGGGAGAAAGAGAGAGGTGAGATTAGAGTTAGCAGGAAAGAGAGACGAGGGAGTTCGAGAGAGTTCCCCCCGGACTGTGGGAGAGGAGACACAGGGAAGAGGGGGAAAAAATAGTTAAGTGGGGTGTGGACGGCCACAAAAATTCCACAGAAAATATTAAAATAATTAAAATATAATCTTCAGCTTGGATTTTGTCCGTTTGTGCTTCAGAAGCTATGATTGGTTTTGGTACTCAACTTCACATGCTCGTTGTTGCTTGTGGGTTGGAGTCGGATTCTCCAGTGGTTAATACATTGTTAACGATGTATTCTAAATGCCAGTACTTCTCTGATGCCCGCAAGTTGTTTGATATGATGCCTCGAACTGATTTAGTGACATGGAATGGGATGATACCTGGTTATATACAAAGTGGGTTTATGCTTGAGGCTTCACGTTTGTTTCAAGACATGATATCTACAAGTGTCAAACCTGATTCAATCACATTTGCAAGTTTTTTACCTTCGGTTGCTGAACAAGGTAGCATCAAGCAAGGTAAGGAAATTCACGTTTCCATTGTAGGGCACTGTGTGTCTTTGGATGTGTTTTTGCAAAGTGCACTTATTGATGTATACTTCAAGCGTTCGGAATGTGGAGATGGCACGCAAAATTTTCAAACAAAGCACCAGAACGGATGTTGTCATGTGCACAGCTATGATTTTGGGGTTTGTTCTCAATGCGATGAATAGTGATGCATTGGAAATTTTTAGATGGTTACTTAACACAGAAACTGAGACCAAAAACTCTTAACAGTGGCAAGTGTTTTACCAGCTTGTGCTGGTTTGGCTGCTCTGAAATTCGGCAAGGAAGTGCACGGTAACGTCCTCAAGCATGGGTTTGATGGAAGGTGTTATGTGGGTAGTGCCCTTACAGACATGTATGCAAAATCTGGAGGGCTCGATCTTGCTCATCGAGTTTTTCAAAGACTGACTGAAAGGGATGCTGTTTGTTGGAACTCGATGATAACAAGCTATTCCCAGAATGGCAAACCAGAAGAGACGGTTGATCTATTTCGTCAAATGGGGATGGGAGGTGCCAAACATGACTGTGTAAGCATTTCAGCTGCGCTTTCTGCATGTGCAAATTTACCAGCACTTCATTACGGGAAAGAGATCCATAGTTTCATGATTAGAAGTGCATTTAGCTCTGACCTGTTTGCTGAGAGTGCACTGATAGACATGTATCCAAATGTGGAAACTTAGATGTTGCCCGCCATGTGTTTGACATGCTGGAAGAGAAAAATGAAGTTTCGTGGAACAGCATCATTTCTGCTTATGGGAATCACGGTCGCCTTAAGGAATCTCTTGTTCTATTTCATGAAATGTTGGGTAATGGGATCTTGCCTGATCATGTCACCTTTCTTGGTGTATTATCTGCTTGTGGTTATGCAGGCGCAGTTGATGATGGAATTCTCTACTTCCGTTCCATGATTGTGGAATATGGGATCCCAGTTAGGTTGGCGCATTATGCTTGCATGGTAGATCTGTTAGGGCGTGCTGGACGTTTACATGAAGCATTTGAAACAATAAAGAGCATGCCATTCTCCCCAGAAGAGGTATCAAGATATCTTTTTGAATTGGCACCTCTAAATTCTGGCTATAATATACTCTTATCAAATATACTTGCTGATGCTGGAAAATGGAGGAGTGTGCTTAAGGTTCGAACTCTGATGAAAAACAGAGAAGTTCAAAAGGTTCCTGGGTACAGATGGATTGAGGTAAACAACAACACTTATATTTTTGTTGCAGCAGATGGGAGTCACCCAGAGTCTACTCAGATATGTTCATTGCTCAACAGTGTTCTTCTAGAACTAAGAAAAGAGGGTTATAATCCAAGACCTTACCTTCCAATGCATCCACAAATGTTGGGGGTATAATTACTGGAATGTTTTAGCTTGTAGGACCGACTGATCTTTCAAAGGATGCAATAGATTTTCCTGAAGCTGAAACAGAAGCCTCTGCCACACATGATGCCACCTCCACCTGCCAAAGATGGCAAGGAAGCAAAGGGAGGAAAAGATGGAAAGGATACAAAGGATGAAAAGGATGCAAAAGATGCAGAGGGAGGAAAGGATGCCATGGAAGGAGGAAAGGATGCAAAGGAAAGAAAGGATGTGAAGAATGAAAAAAATTAATTCACCAACTGCGGCTGAAACTGCAGCTGCAAGCGCATCTGTTTCACCTGCCAAAGATGTTACGGTGAATTGTACTCCTGGCTCATCAAAACCAGAGGCTCCTGCTGAACCAGAGGGTGAGCAACATTCAGAAACCACGCCAACTCCTGCCAAGTAATGACCCTTCATAATTTTTTTTATTCTTTACATTATCTTCGAATCTACTGCTTAGAAATTACTAGGAAGAATAAACACAATCATTTGTCGATGATCTGTTGGAAATTATATATTGTAATATATAATTTTAATAATTGAATGAAAAATATTGTTAACCAATTTCTTGGAAAGGTTATGTTGTTTAGGTGTATTTCCTGATAAGTGAAGTATACTTATAGATGAAAAGTTACATCTCTTTAATAAGTAGAAATTGGATTCTATTTAAACCCATGAAACCATTGGTATTAAGGATAGAAAATTAGAGTTAATTTTTACTCTTGAGAAATAGGGTTTCCCCACTTTGTTTCTCTCATGTTTTGTGAGTCAAATTCCGAGTCGTGTCTTGAGAGTACGGAATATATAAAGTTCGCCAGAGTTCGAAGATTGAAGTGCTTTGACTTCGGATTATAGATTGTTGAATCCTGGGAGATGGACGCCTACCGAACTACAAGCACAAGAGTATGGGCGAAATTCTATCTTTAGGACATTGCATTTATGCAAGTCTCAATCTCCAAGTTTGTCAGTTATTCTAACTTTTTCTCTAGTTGTTTATATTAATCTCATATATAATTGATGTCGTGAATTTCTTTATGATTATTATCATTGGAATTATATTGTTATTTTTCATATTTTCTAATATTGCTCCAACATGATCCAGAGTCTGCAGCATGGAAAGCACAGACTGCAGAGATTTTCTTCCTAACTTGCTCTAGGGTTTTGTAGTCTTATCCTTTTGAAATTGCACATGCACTTTTATTGACACCCAATTTATCGGGTAAGAACTAATTTTGTCCTTACAGTATTACTAATTATCAAACTATATAAATTTCCCAAAAAATGAAGTGTCGAATGGTCATAAAAAGACTACCAAATAGTTTTACAAATTATCCAAAAGTTGAAAACAATAAATGGCAAGATGGTTCCAAACAGTGTATTACTGTCACACATAATAATTAATTACATCACTGCTTTATTTTATATAGAAAATAAATGGCAAGATGGTTCCAAACTGTGTATTATTGTCACACATAATAATCAATGACATCGCTGCTTTATTTTATACAGAAAATAAGCAAATAAATACAAACTTAAAAGAATTTGATTATTTCATAACTTAGCATGCAGTCAGGCAAGTATAGTTTAATTTTTTTGGGAAAATTTGAAATAGGTCCAATTTTATAGACTACCTTTTGAAATAGGTCCAATTTTTAGTGACTTTTGACTTTTGAAATAGGTCCAATTTTTAGTTACTTTGGACCCATTTCAAAGACCCCCTTTATTTTTTGGGCCTTGGGCGAACATTGACCGATTGGAAGGTTACTGCCACTTGTAGTATGCGAGAACACTATATACGGTCTGCGTGACGGTAAGAATGAGGATAATGATGACCGCATTTGAAGCTGACCAGATTGATGATGGATTGTATAGATAATTCCTTTTGATCCCTGCAAGCCAACGCCTTAGCCAACGATCTTGATAATATATATCCACAGATAGGGCGAGGTCAGAGTAAAAGAAGGAGATGCGTTCAGTGTCATTGCAAAGCCTGTTGAACAAAGAAACAATGTCCTCCTTGCTCAACTCGGTGATTATAATCTTTTTTGTGAATGAGAGAGTCTAAATCTTTCCATCACTCCATTGATGCAGTCGAAGGTTATGTCCAACGGAGCTTTCTCATTGGATGCACGTTGAAATTTGACTCCAATTTCCTCAAGATGTGTCAATGGGGGAATAGGAGCCCAATGATCCTCCTGCCGTCTCTCTACACTCGACTGTGATGATCCAACAGGACAATCTCTTGCATGGTCAAGATAATGTCTGATTTCCCTCGTCTCCGTGGGTTCAGACGTAATCAAGGTACAAAAGCTCCAAGATAAGCAAAGATTAAATTGATGCAGATAAACATCTGGTTGTTTTGATGTGAGGATGAATAAATGGTGGACAACTTTCCACGGAAGCTGGTTTTCAAGCAGCAACGAGTCCTTTTTAACAGCCGAATACATCCCTGGCGCATTGAAAATAGGATCATTAACAGGACGTTCATACACATTATCCATGCGGAGGAATTGTATAATAAAGCAACCATTCAGATGATCAAGCTTTTCGTCATAGCAGCTACGAAGGAACTCTTCTCTGCTTCTAATTTCTTTGACCAACTTCACCAAACAAACTGGTGTCTGGAGTTGGTTTGCGATCCAGGAGGCCTTGCAAATACCATTGCTTAACTTGTTCCATGGCTTGCAAATTTTTTCTTCCGTGGTGATACGGCCCTATCGAAACCACTTGTGGGACAAAAACATCTTCATTGTCCCTGACAAGTTTCTTAGGGACTCTAAATATGCAAGTAGGATTTAGTTTAGCAAGTTCCTCGGGAAGCTCTGTTTTGGTCTCGGATGCAAAACTTTCGTCTTCAATTTCTTCGTTTCCGCTCAAAGTTTGGATACCCACATGACTTATTTCTCTCTCAGATCTCTCCCCCTCCTCTATCACTTGAATTATGGAGTGGTCACCGGTTGCATTGCTCTCACCAGCTGAGTCTGTCATCGTCAACTCTTTTCAACTCCAAACACGACTCACCTACTTTAGTATTATATATTAACAAGAACAAAAATTACAAATAATGTCAATACTTTAGCTGAATTACCGAATTTAGTATTGGAAGCTTACAGAAATTTTAGACCATAATAAAAGATGAAAATATGTGTTTACCCCTCGAAATTCATCTTTTTTTTTTTTGTTTTTTAATAAATAAACTTAAGGAAGTTGGGTGGACAGATGTCACTAAATTATAATAGTCACATAGATGCCACATTTAGGGGTGT